TCCCATGAGAACATTACACAGATTCATATTTATCATTTAAGATTCATTACCTGGATATCTCAAGTATTGTGTTTAGAGTCTTTATTTCCATAAACTATCATTGCAGTAAATATAATAGAGGCAAATGCAGAATGTGTGAAAACCCCAACTTTCAGTGTAGAAGGGAAAGGGTCTGCTAGCATTCAGGATTAAAAGAAAGAAAGAGAATGTAGAAGTGCTTTAAAAAGGAGGATTGAAGACAAGGTGACAGATGCAGGAGAGCACGCCAGTTGGAGTGACTCATTATTGAAAGGGCAAATCTGAAAACACTCTGCATGCCTGAGAGAAGATGACAAAATCCAAACAGCAGACAACAAAGATTGGTGCAAACACTCAAAAGAAGTCAGACATATAAACAGGGATTAGATCCATACTCCACATGAAAGTGCTTTGTGTGACTGCTGGGATGGAGGTTAGCAAACAGGAATATTTAATTTTAAATGTTTATAGTGGTAAGAATCTGATAGAAAATAATCATTGTTATACTGTACTACAATGGAGTTCAAATACATCTGAATAACATAAAAAAACTACACCATTAGAAGTAGTGTTTGTTAAAAAAAAGCTCAGCCTCACATTGGTAACAGAAAGAACATGTGCTGTAAAATCAATTTGAGTTGGAATTTCCTACCAGGAAGTAACAATAGCTAAAAACTAGTTATAATTATCTGATTTTTCTTCATAAACAAAATAATTATTTTTTAAAAATACTGAGAAATCAGCTTGGACAATCTATAGGACATCTCAAAGCTGGTAGAACCAGCAACACTCTGAGCATGCCTGTCCCTCTCTGATAACAAGCGTGGGAGTCTGCCTGGCAAATTCTGACAAAATATTTACCTGTTCAGTGGGTAAAGTTCAGCATGATAAATCCACCTGATGATCGAGGTTGTGCTTCTGGTGACTCATACAGAGAGTGACAACAGCTGCAAAGCACCCTCAGATTAAAGGCTGCAAGGGTCAGATAGGTGCAAAGGGGACTGCAGTTGTCTGCAGGGGGATTAAGAAAAAGTCAAAGCACGCTACTGTTCAGAGATAACCAGTTTAAATAGTACCAGCTCTTTGCCCAACTAGTCAGGTGATCCACAAGAAGAAAAGCCATTCTAGATTTAATCCTGAGCAGTTTAAAGGAAGTAATTGTACATATGACTATGGAAGAATAGCTCTGTAGCCATTTAAGCTATTCAAATACAGTATCCCTACAAAAAATGGAAAAGACGCCAACATCTCAAGATCAAGAACGAAGCTTCTTGCAAATGGTGAAATTAGTCAAAAATAAATTACAAGAGTCATAAAAAATAAATTAAAGGTGAATTTATATGGCTTTATATGTGAGGGAGTAAGCATGACTTGTAAAGGTTGAAGTCACTCATTACCAATGAACTAAACATTGTTTATAAAAGCTCATTAAGTGCAGGCATAAAAATGAAACAGAAACCATGATTTTACCACACTTTGGGCCACTGGTGAGACTCTGTCTTGAGTATTGCATGGACTTTGTCTCCACTGATACAGTATAACTAAAAAAGGGTACAGATAGGCAGCAATTACAAGCAGAGAATGAGAAGACCACCTAGGTAAGGGGAGGAAATATTAGGACTATTTTCTCTTATGTTACTTTTCAGCATAGAAAAAAAAAGGTGGCTAAAATAATTTTATTGAATATCTGTAAATCATTAATGATATAGAATTTAAATAGCTATTTTTACATAGCTGTGGAACATTACAGTTTTTAAATTATCAGAAGATGCTTTTTCATATAACCTGTGATTAAAACTACAAATTCATTGCTAGAGGATGTCACAGAGACCAAAAGCATTGAGAAGTTTAAAAAACTACCAGAAAAAGATAAGGCAGATGCATCACATCCTTCTCAGCATCCGGTATCAGAGAGCTGGACTGGTGCCCTGCCTATCTGCAGGTTGCTATTCTCACATTCCAACCAAAGTAATTTAAAAATTGAAAAAAAACAAAACAAAACAAAACAAAACAAAAACCTAAAAAAACCCCCAAAAAACCCCCAAAAAACCCACCCCAAACCTAAATATTCTTTTTCCCACTTCTACCCATCAGATAATAACCTTTGATTATTGCAAACCAGGCTGGATTCCAAATATGAATTTCAAGATGAACAGCTCCAGCTAAGTTATCATATCCCAGGGGTTCTCATTTGTAAATGAAAAATAAACATGAATACTAAGTCTTTCTAGCTGAATTTAGCACAGCAGCTCTCTCTCAGGTTATTTTAAAGAAGATAAGTATCTTTAATTCATATTAAATACATCTCTTTCAATGCACAGTTTGGTTATTTCCACTTCCACATTCTTCTTTCATAATGAGGATTTGGTGAGAAAAACTTTTAATAGAATAGGGTCATTTTCAGACTGATTCCACTGCTTCCATAGCTACTTGAAAATCACAGAAAATGGAGTTGTCCTTATTTGCCTTTCTCTGGTGCTCAGTGTGTGAGACACCATGGGCAAAGAGTGATAAATTTAATTAAGCTCCGTAAGCAGCAGCATTCTGTCTCAGTTAAAATTAACACTTCCCCTTATGCCTGAGCAAACACAAAGATCTGGTCTCAGCTTGGGAATAGTTCAGAGTGCTAATGCAAACAACACAACTACAGCTATTATCTACAAATGGTCCTGAAATGTTTTCAAGCATGTGTTGATGCCACTTCTCACTCAGGAAGTTTACTTGACTCTGTTATTCTGTATCCTATGAGCAGAATCTTTTGTATCAATAAGTGAAACTATTTCTTTGGGATCGGGATGGGAGGATCTGTGCTAAAACTCTAGGTAGTCCTCCCACAGCTAAAAAAACCCCAACCAACCAACAAACCAAACGAAAAACCACAAATCCCAAACCGTCAAGTTACTAGAATTATATCTGCAGTTATTCCCTACTGCAAGAAGAAGGTCAGATTTTCACAATTCCACTACCACAGCCTGGAGGGGCTGTGGTTACTTTTGTCCAAGTGTGCATCAGCCCAATCTACATCTTACACAGAGAAGTAAAAGGCACATATATGAAAAGGCACATATATGCATATATGCAGTTGTCCATGGTTATATGTGAGTTCATATATTGGCCAATAGGGGCCAACAATGGCGCATGAGCATTAGTCAATTAGGCATCTCTGTGCCAGACCAGCCACTTGCTCCATCTGCCCCAGCAGACTTCCCTCTCTATCTAAGGGGCTGTGTAACCCTCCACTCTCCAGAATTCCCTTCATTTGTGTTGTTCTTTTATCTGCTGACTGGTGTTTGAGGTGGGGGTGCAGAGGAACTGTGCAGGAGTTACCCATCCTCACACTGTGGAAGTGCCCCATGATCTCACATGTTTGGAGCTCCGGGATCTCTGGGGAAGAATGGCTCTGCCCAGGCCGTACTCAGAGAGGAAAAGCATCACAGCCATGAACTCATCCTCGAGAACACTATTTGGGAGTTACAATGTGGTAAAGAGTTGCCTGAGCAGTGGCAGCACAGCTGAGGTCCAGGGGGCCTGCTGGGGTGTCTGAGGTTCTTCCTGAGGGATTTTAGGCCAGGCATCTTTGGAGCACTGTGGAGATGACTGCATTGCACACTGGCCCAGTGATGCATCAGAAATGCGGGAATTTTTGCTTTTGAAAGAATCCATATTTAAGCTCATCAGTGAACATATGGTAATGTGATTTCTATTGCTGTTTCTTATGGCTTTGATTACAATGGAGGCAAAGAAAGCCGAAGGGGTTTCTATATTGTCAGTATTTCTGTAAAAGGAAACCAAAGCACCTGCATTTGTTTGCACTGGAAGGCATCAGGCCTTGTGACCTGGTTACTTGCCTTGATACTTTTTATTATCTCTATTTCATCTAAACTGATGCCAAAAAATGCAGATTTCACTTGCTGAGTTTTTACGCTTGCCATTTTGTGTTCTACTGCTAAGTGCCAAATTTTATTTTGCAAAATCTGAAAACAGGAAAATGCTTGTGTCTAAGGTTATTTTTCATTTGAAATACAGTATAATTATATTATTTAAATAAGTCTCCAATGTTTTAAGAGCTGAAAGCTCAATTGACCAAATTAATGTTGCATTCAGCCAGCAAGTCATCCAGCTCTGACTCTTCCTGACTCCAAACTGCAGCTTGTTTACAAACACATACAGGTTTAGCAAGCAGCCATTTTGGCCTGTGTGAATTTTGTCTTTTAGGTTCTGCAGGAAGAACCAATTGGTTTAAAGGATCCCTATTATTTCACTATCTTTGTTTTCAACTGTGTTTTGTTTCCTCTTAGGAGCCCCACTCTAATTCATCATGTTTCTTTTGTTCCCTTTTATTATCAGGCTGTGTTCTAAGAGAATATGAGCTAAACACCAAACACCCCTTTGTCCTTATCGTTATCATCAGGATCAGTTCCCTTTACATTTTCACATCTGACCAGCCTTCCTGAAACTCAGAATTATATTACAATTAGAAATGCTCTAGACATAATATGCACAGGAACTTCCTATTCATATTCACAGAGTTGTGTATTTTGAACTCAGCAGACAAACAAGCCACTGCCTTTGGAGTGCTAAATTCAGGGACAAGGCAGGGTGGGCTGTGATCTGCTCTGGGATATGCCCATTTTATCTGCCACAGTTATCAGCTGAAAAGGGATTATTGATCCTTATAAACATGTGGGAGGTCTCAGCTCTGTTTTGCACTTGGATATATCTGTTTGTTATTTCAGACTGAAAGGACTAAAGCTCAGGTTTTCAACTTCCCCAGAAAATGGTCTATCGAGAAGCACCAGGACATGCTGGTGGGAAAGGGTTATCCTGGAAGTAGGAAAGTCACACTATTCTCAAAATCCTCATTCACAGATTAGGTAGTTAAAATGTACTTTGTAACTCAAACATATATATTTATTTTTCCTTTGCTTTCAAGACTTCCTTGTGCAGATCTATTTCCAACAATATCTTGTTTCTTCCTGCAGTTCCAATTTTAACTCCACCTGTTGGCACTTCATCAGGATGAGAATGACCTGCCTTTTCTTCAGAGATCAGCAGAGAAAAGAAGCTGAATGTGTGCTGTCTGCATCTATTCCCTCATTAACTGTGCTGGTAGTATGAAATCATTCATTATTTTCCTTCCTTGCTGTAAACCTTGGGAGTGTATTTTGATAACCTTGACAGTCCTCTGTGCAGGTTTTGCTGTACCCTCAATCAACTCAGTGCACAAAATGAGGCAAGCAAAATACAGAGTTTGCAGGAATGATTACTTGTGAGTTTAGAGACTTCTTGTCTTCCTGTTGGCCAGAACTTACGGAGAAGATTCAAGATGAGCAGTTCTTTGGAGGATGATCTTTATGTTCTGTCCTAATCCATGGAGATTTTGTGTAACATTCTTCTTAGGCTTCACATTTCCATAATGAAAAATAAAAATAGATGCTAAGTACATTCCTTGTTCCAGGTGCACAAAAAGCTGAGCGGGAAATCTGCAGATCATTGTGGTCCATCCAATATCCTATGTGCTGTTTCTCATATAATCTTTCTTTTCTGATTATTGTGTCTAATAAAGAAAATATGTACAGTTATTGATGGTTTGTTATTCTTTTCAAATTTTTAAGAGATTAAGATTAGATGTGAACATTCATGAGGCAAATTTCACTTCCTGTGCTAGTATTGATTTAACAAGAGGGAAGTGGAGGAAAACAGCAGCTGGGATTGAAAGAGGTCACAACTTCTTTGTGATGAAATCATACAAAACCTGGAGTCACACCCTGGCAAGAGAACAAATTACATAAGTCTGGTCCTGAGGATTCACTCATTTTACAGAGCATTTCTTTGCATTGCCATGAACCATGCTATGCTGAGCATTGCAGGTGCCCTTCTGACTGGGGGATCGTGCCACTGCACATCTTGTACTTGTGCAAGACAGTTTGCACAGTTTTATGCAGAAAGCATAGAGTCTAGGGTGAAATTTTTGTTCATAATAGCTGGCTTTGTGTCTCAAGCCTGAGGAAACATGTAAGACAGTTGAACACATTAAGCCTGGTGCACAACTAGTTGCCAGTAAGTAAGAGGTACTGACAAGAGGTACTCTTGAAAAAATTAATTTGACATTATTTCTCACATATCCAGAACATTCTGCTTTCTAATTCTTTTCCTTATCTCAACATTTTACTCATTACCCATTTGATGCTTCAGGACTGACTTGACTCCATGTCATATAAACTGAGGAAAGAGATTATACAATGTGGTTCCCTGTGTTTTTGAGTCGAAAAACATTTTGCCAGCAGTGAGAACAGCATCATATCATATTCCCACGACAGACTGTGGTGACAACAGGATTACAATCTGTGGTTTAGGATAGGAAAGAAATAATGGAAGGAAAAGTCTTAAGAAACAAAGATCCTGTTTTATTCCAGCTACTTTTAATGGCCAAAAAATAAAGCAAGGTCTTGAGAATTTCAGTTTGAGGCATACCTGACTGGCATTTTATCCTAGAGTTTATTTATTTTACATTTGTTACAATCACTAAAGCATCAAATTTGTGTTTTGCAGGCTGTGCAAATACAACTATATGTGTTACATATTTATAGTTTCTTTTTACATTTTAATATTTTTTATTACATCAATAAGCAGAAATAAGAAATCTGAAAAATAGAAACTTAGTAACTGAATCTAAGATAGAAGTAAAAAAATACAAGTCTTAGACCTGTAATTAAATCTCCTTTATAAATCTCTTCTAGTTATCTTCAGTGGATTCCAGCACTCACAGGGAAGTTGGAGCATCTAAGGCAACAAGAACTGAGGCTGAAGTTCTGCAATGGCACAAATCAGGAACCATATTTTTACCTTCTCAGCATACAGAAAGTCTCAGAAATGCCCATTCAGCTTGTTCTACTGCATAATTATTTACATTGGACACTTGATTTATAAAGCTTTTTAGTGATAATGTTTCATTTGAGCATATCCTGTACTTTAATGTGTATTCTATTTTCCTGCTCAACTAGCTTAGATATGTTAGAAGTGAGCATCTTTTTTTAAGATGCTCACTTTTTTTTTGAGTCCAAAATAATATAATCCAATATTTAAGCATATCTGAACTTATCTCTGCTGGAGATGAATTTTTCAACATGTATAGCTCTTGTGGACAATTTTGGTAAAGCATCAGAAGTTTTACAAAACCGACTCTAGAAAGCCTCTAGGCTTTATTTTAATACTTCAGTTGAAGCAACTGGTGCCTAGGTTAGAACAAAACCAAAGCACTTCTGGGAATTTTTATATCATGCCATGAATTTTGTTAATCAGGTTAAGTGAGGCTTTCTCAAACTTCTGGAACAGGTTACCCAGAGAGTTGTGGATACTCCATGCCTGGAAACATTCAAGGTTGACTGCATTCTGACAAACCCAATCTAATTGAAGTTCTTCCTGCTCATTGAAGGGGGATTGGACTAGATTACCCTTAAAAGTCTCTTCCAACACAAATTGTTATGTGATTCCATGAAGCAGCAAGATTTTGTTGTGATTTTTCTTTATTTATGATAGTTCAAAGGAAAAAGCCTGCTGATTGTCATTGTGCAATGTGACAAGAAACAACCAAAGGTGGTTTTAGCTCCTGTGGTAAATGCTGGGGTGCACAGAGAGATCCTGAACCTCCCCAACAGTCTCCTTCCCAGGGCTACTGTGGCCATACTGTGATATCTCCTCAAACTTCCCTTGAGTGATGAGTTCGCACTAGCTGTAGGAAGCCTATTTCCACAGTGAAGGAAAAGTTATTTAAAACAATCCACTAACATCTACATGGTTTAAAATACAATAAAAAAGATAATTAGCATTTGGTGCAATCTAAGAGCAAAATGTCCTTCAGCAACAGAGGCAAGAGTTCTCAAACCACAGTCATCAATAGCATCAACATCAATTAAGATACCTGGGGAAGGCCTCATATAAGTATCATAAGTAATAATTGTGGAAAGAAAAAATGCAATTAGTACCAAGATACACAGTAAATGCTTTGCAATCTGCTAAATTTTGTGGAGCTTAAATACACCCTGAAGATCAGAAGTAAGTGTAGAAGAAAAACTGTAGAGCAAGGGAGCAGTAAAAGCACAGTGCATCATTAAACAGTGATTAAAGTTCTAAACCCAAAAATGTTGCTTTATTTGCAGCTCTTTAAATGTTCAGAAAGATCATCTATTGAACCATATGCAACCAGGATGCAAACACCAAACCTGCCAACCATGTAGCTGAAATGTATTCAGTTTGTGTTGTCTCCTCAAGAGGAGGCTGAAGATGAAATAGCCAGGGGTGTGCTCTGGGCATTGGTGAATGTGGCAGGCACTGAGGAATGGGCAGCACCAAGCACTCACCACCACAGTGGCAGGGAGGGTCCCCAAACCTGCTTCCTAAAAGCCTCTGGGTGAAGATCTCACATGAAGCTCAGATTTCTTCTGCATACTTTAGTGCTATAAAAGGATCAGTTCTGTACTCAGACTGTGTAGACAAAAAGGAAAATATAAACCACAGCAACAAATTTTCAGCTGGCACAGAAGTTTTTTTCATTTTTATAAAATTAACATGGGAAAATTCAAAGCAGTGCCTATCAAATTTACACCCTTTCAAATATGCCATCCTAGAAATGTCACACCTAGGATTTTAAAGGAAATAAATGAAGAGATTTTTTTCATTACTATCACAAATATTTCAGTGTAATGAACTATTTCATTATATTAATTTACAACATTAAAAAGATGGAAGAATATATGAAACCTGATAGGCAAAACACTGGAATGGTTCTTATAAGGATGTAGCAGCAAAGAGGTGAGGCTAGAAATGTGCTCAAGATGTGTCTACATCTGCTGGGTGATGTGATTGAGTGGTTTAGGGGTTACACTGGCATTGCTGGGTGAATGGCTGGACTGGATGATCTTGAAATTGCCTTCCAACCTCAATAATTCTATGAAAAATTCATGCAATCAATGTCCTAGTTTCATGGCAGATCAATCTTCTTAAATCAAATTTCACTGTCTTTGACTTAACTAGAGTTTAGACAATAGTGACGATATGTCAATAGCATCTGCTTGGGTTTTGGTGAAGTATTAATATATATTTATTATATTTATATGTATCTAATATATATTAACATATTTAATTTATATTATTTATTTATATGCTTAGATCTCAAAGCTTTTATCTGGTGAAAGAAGGCAAGTGCTAAATCCAGAAATTTACACACAGGTCCCAAGGTAGATGAGAATAGAGATCTCCAATGAATTAGGCAGGTTTTGATAGGTCTCCCTATATTCAGTTTCTGGTCCAAGGCTATTCAGCATTTTTGTTGATGGCCCACAGGATGAGTCACAAAGTACTTGCTGGCAAGATTTTGGATCTCAGAAGATTGCACTGGTAATGTGTACCTGGAATCAGCTGCTTAGCACTCTGGATGTGCTGCATACATGATCTCAATGCAGTAGGGTTTGCTCTAACATCTACAGAAGAAAGATCCAGTTACTAGGGGGAAAAAATATTTCTACACATTTTCAGTGTAAGAGAATATGATGGAAATTAGCAGCCCCAAGGAGAAAAAATGAGGAAAATAAGAAAGACAAATCATGGTGCTATAAGGAAGGAGAGGTCATGTCAGGATGAAAGTGGCCTGCAAGTGAGGGGGCAAACCTGTCCCCCACGCAGCCCAGCTGGGAGAGTGCCCACACTGTACCAGCCTTGAGAAGAGATCCACAAGTAATCCAGAGATTAGGAAAATCCTTTCACAAAAGAAGGGTGGGAGGTGATTGGGAAACCGTGTCTCATATGGAGAAATCACAGTTGTTCCACTCTTGGAAACAGAAGCAAAATGTGGGTCAGGAATTCCCCTCTGAGCTTACCTGAACAGAGAGAGGAATGGATGCCTGAACACTTCACCGAGGAGAGAAAGAGATGCTGCTCACATGCTTTCAGGTGACTTAGCTGTCCCCCTGTGCCTGTGGGTGTGGTAGGGAAAGCTGTGAGTGTCTGCGTGTGTGCACTTGAAATCTGAGGGTCACCCCATGTACACACCAGTGGTCTTCTACAGAGAAAAGGAAACTTTCTGCCATGCTCTTGATAATCATAAATTATCTGCAGCTCTGCAATGGGACAATGATTATAATCAAATCTCATGCTTCAAGGCTTCAGGGTCAGGAAAAACAACACCCTCCATGCCACCATCAGTACATGCTCCAAATACCTCTGGGGCCTGACAGGGGAGTTTTTTCATCTTCTATGAGCTCAGGTATGTTGAGGACATGGGGAATACTCTACCTGCCTGTGCATGTGGTGATGGTTTTACTGCCTGAGGTCATACAAAACCTGCTCCTAGGTTTTGATACTATTCAGCCTATCTAAAAGACAGCAATTTGATTCCAGGTGTCCTGGGATCTGCAGGTAAATTTATCTGATACTCTGATTTGGACTTAATTTCTTTGAAAAAATGTACAGAAAATAAATTCCAAACTGAAGCTGAAAACATTATCTTCTTAATTCAGAGGGAGTCACTGTTAATACATAATTTTTGGGCTAAGCCAATGGAACCTTTTTAATATTGTACTTCTGT